GCACTGGATGAGTGGTTGAAGTCAAGGGAAGTTGCTGTTGGTTGCTTCTGGGACAGCAGGATGAGCCAGGGGCCACCTGCTACCCACACTGCTACTCGAGAACCTGGGAGGGTGGGAGAGCCGCAAGGATTGACAGCAGGAATGCACGGGAGCCTGCGAGGGACAGGACCCTCCTGACAGGAGACTGGGCTTGTTCTCTTTTGCTTAGACTTTTAAACATATCGTTTTGACAGAGCATCAGACACTTGCTGATAATGAAGGCAAGGAAGATGTACCAGAGCAGCGCTTATAAAGATAGCATTTGTCGTGCCTGAGTGTGTGTGTGTCTGTGCGTGTGTGTGTGTGTGTGTGTGTGTGTGTGCTCATGTTTGTATCACTGAGCTCAGAATGTGCCTTACCGACAAGGTGCCTAGACAAAGCTAGGGAGAAAATAATGACACAAAAGTGCTGGAGCAATACTTTTAATTCACTTCAAAAAAAAAAAAAAACCCTTTGGCTCTTCAACTAGAAACCGTGTTAAAGCCTTCTGATTTTTTATTTAATTTTACTGTAGTTGATTGGTTTGCATGCTCGTGGAGAAGCAGATTCTACACAGTTCCAGCATCCTGGGCCTTGAAGGTATGGTCTACCTGACTTTTGTATCCTGGTATTCATAAGGGGCTGTGGAAGACCTGGGGCTTAGAATCCAAGTCATGTTTATGCCATATCACCAAACTGCTAGTGGAATGAGTTTTGATATATTTCAGATAATTTCATTTGATCTTGAAACAAAGTTACAAACTTGTAAGCAGTCCACAAGTGTCACAAATGTCTTTGACCTAGAAAGTCCAGATGATCTGAGTCAATAGCTGCGATTTCTCTCTTATCTGTGTCATGACTAACAGGTTGGAGCAGCAGCTCATTGAGAGAAAGCTATCTTCTGCACAGCCCTAGCAGATCCAAAGATAGCGGCTGCCACTTAATGGTCCAGACCACCTAGACATACTTAGTTCTCACAGCCTGGCGTGGGTGGTGGTGTTGATCTACCTACAGTCAGGAAGGCTGAGCCTAATGAGGCTGACACCTTGCTCAAGGGCACAGCTAGGAAGCAGCAGGTCACACTACAAGACTCTGTGACACTCTAGGCTCTTTTACCATCACCTGATGAATCTGAGTCCCCAAAATTACCCAGCACACTTTCCTTCAAACATAATGTTGGGGCCAGTGAGATAGCTCAACAGACTAAAGTGCCTGCTTAGGCAAGCATGGTTCAACCACTGGTACCACATGCTGTGCCACACCTACCCCCAGGGTGGGCTGACCCAGCTACAAAATCTTGGAGTAATGCCACATGACTGTAATCCCAGTGCTGGGGAGGCTAAAAATAGGAGGATCACTATGAGTACAAGCTGCATAGTGAGACCCTGTAACAACCAAATACATTTTATAAAAAATCTCATTTTATTGACTACCCAACTCCTCTAACATTGGGTCCATTTCTTTGTTACATGGTATGATAAAAAAAAAAATTACAGTGAATGTTTAAGTCAAAACTTTAAGGACAGGTGTAGTGGTGGATGCCGATAATCCCAGCACTCAGAAGGCTGAGGCAGGAAGACTGCTTTGAGATGGGCACCAGCTTAGGCTACATAGTAGGTTCAAAGCCAGTCTGAACTGTAGAACAAGACCCTGTCTCAAGAAAAAGTAAGAATTATTACAGCAAAAGCCTCATTATCATTAATCTTCCTGCAAATGCTCTCGCTCACTGCAAACACACTTACCTCATCATTCAGGCTAAATTCTGAAGTAGTTCAGCTAGTCCTCTTTGTGTCTATGTATGAATGCTGCGGCATGCCATCCAGGGGAAAGGCGGGCTTGTAGGCACATCACCGAGCATCCTCGTCCTCCTTGTTCACCAGATCTGGGACTGTGAGACTCTCAGCTCTTCCTCAAAGTCAAGATGGCCATGCAAAGTGAATATTTTGCCGGCCACATGCCTGTAATCCCAGCACTCAGGAGGCTGAGACAGGAGAATCACTGTGAGTTCAAGACCAGCCTGGGCTACAAAGTGAGCTCAAGGCCAGTGTCAAATGCATAACAAGACCTTATCTCCAAAAGACCAAAAAAAAAAAAAAAAAAAAAAAAGGAGCAATTTGTATCATTGCAAGCTACTGAGTCAGCTGTGACAGGGCAAGTAAAGACACTCGCAAAAGATGACTTTGAAGCTGCTTCAGAGTGGGATGGGATGAAGCTGGACACGATGGCACAGGCCTATAATCCCACACTCAGGAGGCTGAAGCAGGGAGATTGTCTTGAGTTTAAGGCCAGCCTGGAATACATAGTGAGACCTTTTCTAAGAAAAAAAAAAAAGGTGGGGGCAATAAGTGTGTTTTGAAGTGAGGGAGTATATTTTGAGGAGGGTTAATGGCACTATGTCTTTTACTCTAATAATATTTTAACTGAAACATTCAATGCATGTTTCCATCGTACCTCCCATCTCTCCCTGAACCCATGGGCACTTTAGAGAGCTCTGCTATAGGCAAAGCCCATCCCTTATCCTCAGATAGCTCCTGAAGCCTACCCACAAGCACTGCCACGCACTGTTTATGCTTCCACAGGTAGGAGTTTTATGCTTTAATGTCAGCGATAGAGGACTGAATCTCTTTTTTCTCTCCCGGGGGAGGCAGTACTGGCTGCATCATAAAGCTCACACTCTTCGCAGACGGGATTAACTATCTCATAGATTAAAGAGGAGCAGCAGCAGCCCCCCTGATCTGCTTAATATTGTTTAATCAATCTTTGGTTGTCTAAAGAGAGGCAAGATCAGAGGAACAAAACCGTGGATGGTGAGTAAGGATATGGAAATTTCACACTGTATCTTGGCTCGGAGGGACGGAGCTGAGGGAGCTGAAACTCTCCAGGGGGGCTGGGCCTCGGCTGCTCAGGTAGCCAGGTTCAGCTGCCCCCGCAAGACTGCCAGGCCACGGCCTGAGACACGGACACAGACCTGCAAGGTACTCACCTTGGGGTAGCAAGGAAGCTTATAAACATGAAGGTCACAGATTTAGGGTTTTATTGGGAAGTGACTTTTTAATGACATCAGTTGACAACCTCTGATAGGTGTTCAAATGCCAAGATCCCTCAATTGAGAGGGCCTCAGAAGGACTCACTGTCCCAAACTCTCACTGGCTCTGCTCATCCCCCTTTCCAACAGACCGGACAGTGGCTGCAATGTGGTAGGTCAGGTAGGGTTCTGAACCTAGAAATCCTCTGGTACCTTCAGCTTCATCTCCCAGGTTATTTACTTCATTGTTTATTTCTTTATCTTAAAGATGCAACATGGAGCTAAGATGAGTCTCTTTCCTGTGCAAGGAATCCCCTGCAGGTCTTGCCGAAAGCAGGTTCTGATTCATGTCTACGATGGTCCGAGATTCTGCAGCCTGTCCAGCTCCCAGGGGTGTTCTTGGTATTGACAGCCCTGCCTGCACTTTCTTTTAATACAAATAGGCTCCCAGGACACTCACAGGGGTCAGTGATCAGCCGCTTCTGGGTGGACCATGTCTGGTGAGTGGGAAGTGAAAGGAAGGGAAGGCAGGATTTCCTCTGCAGAGCCTGAGCATGGGACAAGGCTGGGTCCTGAGCTCTCGGGGTGGGCCGTGGGGTGTGTCAGATGCCTCGTGGGGTGACAAGGCATCTACAGTGGGGGACACCAAGAGGAGAAAACAGAAACAGGATAAATACCGTCCACCTGGACTTTTTGTTGCTTTCTGGTACCTTTTAATGGAATAAAGCAAGCTAAAAACAAAGCAACTCTGGACTTGGGAAACTGGTTTCTTCTGGGTACTGTTTCACTCATCTGGCCTCCATAAAAATCTTGGCAAAATAATGTTCACCCAAAGTCACAGTGGACACAACTGGAGAAAGACACTGCCCCAGAGTCTGACTGGCCAGAAAGGTCTCTTCTGCTTCCCTCTTCACACTGAAACCCACAGCAGGGCACATCCCTAAGCCCCCAAGCTGTCAAAAATGTCAGGTACAAAAGAACAACTCAGAAGCTGTGAGGTTTTAGCACAGCACGGGAGTTTTAGTTAGACATAAACAAACAAAAACTCATGAGCACATCAAAAGAATGACATTAAAAATAATCAATGCAGATTTGCAGTTAAATACAGAAAAATTCACTGGCCAATCAGGATCTCAAAACCTGCATTTTCTCATCAGATTTTATTGCTACTAGTACATCATGCTTGAGGAGAGAAATTTTCATAGAAAGAAGTAAATAAAAGTTGAGTTAGAAGTAGAGAAAAGAAACCACAGACTTTTGATGGCTAGATGCTTGAATAACATTTGAGTGCTCATACTGAAAGAAATATAATTCATTCCAGCTTATTTAATGGGTGGGGGTTAATGTTGATTATGTAAAAGTAAAATCTTTCCATTGAAAAACTTTGTGAAATTTTTCTAAAACAGAAATTCAAAATCACACTCTCAGCATCTGTGAGTCCAAGAAAACTGGTTTCTTTTTAATTCACAACAGCTTCAAATTCAAATTTCAAACGTTAACAATAACAAAAGCTACTAGAATTTTCCTTAATGAGCCATCCCTTAACTTTGGTACACATAATTAGAAAACTTTACTCTTGAAGGTAAGGTTTCTGACCCACCCTTGTATATGTGAAGAGTCCAAGATCTGGAGAGAATAAGTATTCAGAAATAACTGTCATCTACCATCTTCTGGGCATATCCTCAAAGTAAGGAAAGATTCTCTAGGCTGAAAAATAACGTCAGTTTTAATTCACTCATTTAAGCCAAATGCAGTCTTGCTCTGGCTTGCGGAGAGACCAATCCAGCGGAAAACAAGTTGAAAATCTGCCTGCCACCTCTAGCCCCTCCAGCCCCTCCAGCCCCTCTCCTGTAGCATAACAAACTCTTTTCAAAAAGCCAGAAAATAGATACGTGCATTTTGGGTTGTTTTTGCTCTTGTTTTTCTTCATTTTTGGTGTTTTCTTTTACCTGTAGTTTAGTTTCTTATTCACAGAAGAAATCAATATCCTGGAGGAAAAAAAAAAAAAAAAAAAAAAAAAAAAAAAAAAAAAAAAAAAAGGATTGAACTAAGCAGTCCGGGCCAGAGAACAGATGTAAGTTCTTTAGTTGAAATCAGATTTAATAGAACAGAAAATTGGATTTAAAAATAAGCCAAGGTTGAACCTCAAAGAATATAAAATAATTATCATGTGAAGTAAAAAACTCCTTAAGATGAAGGTCCTTGGATAAACTTTTAATTTCTGGTTATTTGACAGATCAAGCGCTGTATTCAGCAGCACTGACAAGCGAGTTGGATTTGTGTAGGCTGCACCCTGTGTGAAGCTCAGTAATTAGCTTGTAGAGAAGCACTTCAAAACAGCCACCTTGCAAAGCAGCTCGGAGAGGATCTTTTATTTCTGCCAGGAGTTTATAGGACCCCAGGGCATTAGTAAGGAGATGATTTTATTTCAAACATAAATAGAAAAAAAAATAAGGTACAAAAATAAGGCAAAGATTTTTCTAGAATGTTTTGATCTTATCAAAAACAGGTGCTAATTTTTCCTGCAACTTATAGTCTTTAAATCAAGGCAAACTTTCTGTAAATGTTGGTGAATACCAATTTGGTTTCTTTCTTTATGACATGGACTTCTTCCAGGATAACTCTAAAACAAAAGGAGTACTGAACCATGTACTTGAAATTTGCTTTAAAACATTCTCTCATTTCTCTCTCTCTCTGTCTCTCTCTGTCTCTCTCTGTCTCTCTCTCTCTCTCTCTCTCTCTGTCTCTCTCTCTCTCTCTCTCTCATACACACACACACACACAGAGCACAGCTTACTCTATGTAGTGATAGATGTTAACAAACCTGATTGTGATGATCATTTCATTATATGTATGTATCAAAATATCAAATTGATTCCTACTGGGCAACTATAAACTCACTAAAATTGAAAAACTAAAGCAAAAAAAAAAAAAAAAAGGAATATAGAGCCAATAATAAGCTCAAGGAGGTGTATAGAGAAAGCCCACTAATCTGTCAATATTGCCAGTTGGTCTAAATGCTTCCCCAAGTCTCAGTGTCTCAGAAAAGCTGCAGTTGGGGGATGCGGACTTGTTCTACACATCCCTTCAGTTACGTAGTGCTTTTGCCGAGTCAGCCTACAACCCCTGGATCTGAGAGACTTACCGTGGTGGGGACTTCCTTGGTGGCTTCCTGGTACACATGTTGCTCCTTAACCAAGCTGCTGGGGAAATAACCCACGATTCCCATCTCGGCCTGCTTGTCACCGTAGACCTGAGCACCCAGGGGAGTACAAGTCAGTGCAAAGCTGATGTGAGGGTCTCTCGCGACAGCAAGAATTCTACAACTGCCAACACCTTTCCTTCGCTCTGTGTGCCAGTGGACTCGGGGAAGAGCTTGAGCTTCCATTACTAAGTTAACCCATGGGAGCTATGTAGCTATTTTCTTGTGGCCTGTTTTGGCTGTTCTCATTACTTTAGCATTACTTTCTTTCATGCAATCTTGTGATATGCCTGAAATCCCTTTGGAATCCATAGAAAAGTAAATTTTTTAAAAAGTAAACAGACAGTTAAGGATACATTTTCCTTGGTTTTTAGCAATTCAAATGAACAGACACTAGAATGCAATTCAGTTTAATCCTTGATTTCTTTAGGACCCACCTTTCAGGCAGTAAAGGCTGTAAATCACCTTGGCTTCATCCCTGCCCTTGGCCCTGTCTGTTTTAACTAAAGGAAGCAGATCTTTGGAATTAGAGACGCTGCGAAAGTTTTCTAAAAACGATACTGAAATAGACTGACTGCCAACACACACACCTTTCACTTGGCAAACACTTTTTAAAGAGATTCAAATGCTATGGGATGTATAAGTCTCAAGATGTGTATGCCCTCCCCTTTGCTAAAATACCACTTTAACCCACCTCTGGTTTGGTTATGAAATTATCTTTATTTCTTCAAAATCTAATAAGAGCAAATATGCCTGAACTTTTTTGCATTTGCACTTATAATCTCTGTATTATTCTTACCAGCTATTTTTAAATATTACAATGGGTTCAGGATAGGAAATTGGAGGAAAATTAAGAGCAGCAAGTGTCATATGTTAAGGTGCATGCATATTTTGAATAATCTCCTCTTACACTGCCAGCCCAGAATTCTCCAGCTTCGTTTTCTTTGACCAGCTTTGAGTAAATGTAGATCTGCTGCCCTTTTTTAATGTTAATGAATCTGCAGTCTGGGGCATTGTAATCTTCTTGGACTCTAGCCAGAGAAATAGTATCTGGAAGATAAAAAAAAAAAAAAAAAAAATTGAAATGACATTTTATAATAGTAAAAAGGCAAAGCATAAGAAAACTAGGAAGTCAGAGTGACTAATATCGCCTGGGATGCAGCTGCAGTTCAATTCAAAAAGAATTAGAGCCAAAATACTAGAGCAGTGACAAAGTGAATTCTCTACTGTCAGATACCAAACTTGCAGACCATGAGACCCCATGCTGATGACATACATATTAGAGAAGATTCACTTCAATGTACAGTTCAGTTCTATGCTGTTAGTGGAGCTCTTTCAATTACATAATAGAAAGATAATGAAAAGCATAGAAATAAGCCTCCTTACAGACACACTCGTCATCCGCACACAGCTTCTTGGAAGCAAGTCTGTCCATAAATACCCCACTCCCCGAACATACAGCTACGAGACCTGGGAGAAAAAGCAACAATATTCTTGCCATCTTCCTTTTAGCTGTTTTGACTGGCACTCGTTGCCTCGGAGTGGGGACTGACTGCAGCTGATTCCTGCCTTTTATGTGAAAGCCAGAACTCTGGGTAAATAGCCATGACCAATGGGAAGGGTCCACCACCCCTGCTTTCATCACTGGCTCCCAGACTCCGAGGGCTCCTTGGTTTAGGATTTTCCAAAGATAGCCAGACTCCATGTCTTTTGCACACAAATGAAACTCATAATGGTATGCTACTGGTAAAGCTAAATGAACTTGTAGTTTATTACCTTATCAAAAGTACATTGCTATGAGGATCATGAGAATTTTGAACTAGTTTTTAAATTTTAAATTTCACCCTCATATGCTTCCATCTTAAGAGCAAAGACTACCTTCAACAGTCTGTTGAACATGTAAGCTCTCTAGCCTTAGTACAAATAGTTTTAAGAAGTTTAATTAATAAACACCTGAATTTACACAAGTGAAAGATTCTTATGAACACAAATCTTTTTTAAAATCTTTTTTATTTGGTACAGGGTCTTGCTATGCAGCTGGGACTCCTAGTGATCCTCCTGTGTCAGCCTCCCCAGTGCTAGGATTACAGGTGTGTCTCACCATGCCCAGTCTCAATGGCCAGCATGGCGCAGAGCAGGAGTGACATGGCATGTGGTACAGGGGATTAAAACTGGGTTCTTGCTCTTGCCAGGCAGGCGCTTAGACTGCCGAGCTATCTCCCTAGCCCATGAATATAAATCCTTTGTGAAAGGGATTTTAGAAGTTATGCTGGTCTCAGACCAGTGGTAGATTATAATATACTAGTTGGTGGTACATTTTGACCCCACCAGTGGAGAAAGAAGAGAGATGGATCAGGAAGAAAGGGTCAGTCCTTTCTTTACTTCTGTGTAGGTAAGTTTTACATCACTATAACAGATACCTGACAATAAACTTACACAGGGAAAAAGTGATTTTGGCTCATGTTTGGGAAGTTTCATTCCATACTAGTTCCACTACTTATGCCTGTAGAGAAGACATCACAGTGGGCAATCTGTGGCGGAGGACACCTGCTTAGCTCATGTTGGGAAGTGGAGGAGAAGGGGGAGGGGACAGGAAAAGGGAGGGGGAGGGCAGGGGGACCAGGCAGGGTCCTTCAGTTCCTGGTCAGGGCACACAGCCAATGACTTAAGGGCCAGCCGCGGGGCCCCCACCTCTCAGAGGCTCTGCCCCTCCTAGTGTCACACTGGGGGCCAAGACCTTAGCACACAGACACACACTGGAGATCCATGTTATAGCAATCTCCTCTAAGATGTGCAAAATTAAGGCTGAAAATACTGACGGGTAATTGAGAAGCTGGTAACATTAGAGGTTTGTGTTACCTTCTCTTCTGTGTTTCTGGGCCTGTTTCCCATGAAGAGAGAGTGGTAGTTGCACTATCTATTCAACAAGTATCTATTGATAACCTACTGTGTGCCAGGTACTATTCTAGGCACTAGATGTATCAGTGACTTTTAAAAAGGCTCTGCTCCACATTTTATGTTCTATTAGGAGGGACAAATGGTTGTTCCCTTTTACAGGGTACCCAGGGCTGGCATTTCTCTGGGGAGGTGGACACCCATGCCCACCCTGCCCACGGTTTTCTGAGCAGAGATTCCTGTCAACTCTTGTTGATAGAGTGGCTTCAACTGATACCTCCTCCCTGCACTCTAAGGGTGGTCACCATATAAAATGAGGGACGGGAGTTCAATTTACTAATTTAGTGCAAAATAATTTTCTAAGGCATTAATTGGTAAAGCAAAATACACTCATAGTATAATAAAAAGGTTTTATTGTTTGGAGTCTATGTATGCATGTGTATGATTAAGTGACTGCAACAGTTTTACTGTTGTTCATGTGTAAAAGGGATGTGGGGTGTGTGTGTGTGTGTGTGTGTGTGTGTGTGTTTTGTTTACAGAAGGATCTTTTATACAGCTGTCCTTAATTTGGAGGCTTGTTTTACTCAATACTTTCATTATAACAAAGGAAACTGAGGGGCACAATTGCTCAGTTCCCTTTCTCAACCACCCGATATAAAGCTTACCCAGAAGGATTGTGGTCCTTCACTATTTCCTCTCATGGCTGTCAAATTAGAATTGGGATTTTAAATCTTCCATTTCCTGCTGCATGTCACGTCAAGGAAAGGATGAAATTGAACTCATTTTTGAAAGCAGAATGTCAGTGCATTTTTCTTTCCTATAATCTAGGAGGAGGCTAAAAGTATCTCTTCGAAAACTAAAGCACAGACTAAATCTTCATCCTGCTTGGGCAGCTGTTTCACAGGCTGCTGCAGTCTCCAGCCAGCTGTCTACATGGGAGAGCTTAAAGACAATTGCCATCCAAGAAACACTTTAAGAAATGGGGAGTGCATAAACTCAGATTGCCACGCTGTGCTCGGGCCCTCCAGGGCAGAGTAAAATGGCGAAGGAAGTCACATTTTGGCTATTACAACTATTACAAGCCCAAGGCTCATGTGAAGCTTTGATTGGTCTTTCGAAGATGAATAAATAAAGAGATGCCAACCTTGTAGGCACACCCTTGGGAGGTCTGGGAAACTCTAGTATCTGCACTGGGCAAAGCTAGGAAGGAGACTAGAGGTTGCAGGGTAGCGTTGCTAGCGAACAGGTACAGGAACCTGCAGTAATGCCACAAGCAGGTGTACCCAGTGTTCCAAGCACTGCAGTCAGAGTCTGAGCTGGGCACTGTCCAGAGATTACTTACCTTCTTCTTCTGGACTTTAGATGCATTCTTCAAATCTAGTTTGTGGTTCTTAAAAGGGCAGCTATAAGTGGGGTTCAATCCCCAGCACCACAAGCTGTGCTGGTTCCACCCCCAGGCACGCTGAGCTGGCCACCAAGACAGGTGGTGCAAGCCTGTAATCTCAGCGCTGGGGAGGCCGAATATAGAAGGATCACTGAGTCTGAGCTGCACTGTAAGATCCTGTCCCAAATACATGGAAGAAAAAAAAAAGGCTCTGGCTCCTTTAGCATCTAAGGGGAGGCTCCAAGAAGCAGAGGGGCAGAAACAGCCCCCTTGCTGTGGCCTCCTCTCTCTAGGACCTAGCCCCTCGGCCTCATAGATTCCCCTCCCTTCTCTTCCTGACTCTTCCTGTCATGCTTGTTGACCTCTCCTCTTCAAAACACAATACCCAACATGCTCAACTTAACCCTGCCAAGGTCATGGGTTGCATCTCTCAAGTCATCTGCAACCTCTGAAGGGGTAATGGGGCAAAGTTTAATTTGGCTCATGGTTCAGGGAATTCAGGGCATGGCCAGTTGGCCCCTAAGGCAGAAACTTCATGGATGACTGGGTTTCACTTTTAACTGATTTGATTGATCTAAGACATAGACTGGGCCTAAGTAGTCAAAAATGCCTCCCAGGTGATTTTAACATGCAAAGTTGAGATCCACTGTACGGACATGACTACAGTTCTTCCTCCAGTCATTCCTAAAGACAGGTTGTGATAGGTAAACTGAAATATCCTGATTTGACCAAAACATTTCCCTTCCTCTCTTGAAGCTTTTGTGTGGCTGGCTCGGCCCACCCTGGGAGTGGGGCAGACGTGTCATATTTCACCAGGGATTGAACCACGGTCCCTGAACTTGTCTAAGCTTGCCTAAGCAAGTGCTTTAGACCACTGAGCTATCTCGCTGGCTCCTAAGCCTGACTTCCTAGTACAGTAACCTAAGAGAGTTCTGAGCAAAAAATTTAATACACTGAGGTTAACAGAACTAATGAGGAAGTGTTCCATCTCAGAAAAGGGGGAAACTAGAGTATCCTCAGAACTTGGGACTACAGCCTGAGGCACTGCTGTAAATTCATAGCTTTTACATAATTATACAGATTTATTCATAGATAGATGCAGTTTCTGCATAAAATTGAGGACAGGCTGAGGAAACTCAAGAGACATAACCACACACAGTACAATACCAGGTTGGATTCTTGGGCTATCAGCAAAATGTTAACTTTGTACCATGCAATTAATATTAAATTTCCAATTTGGTAAGTCAGACTGTGGTTATTAGTAGTCTTTTACTTAAATATACATGAAGGTACTGAGGGGCAACACGCAATCAGGTCAACAGTCTTAAGTGGTTCAAGAATGTTAACAATTAGTAATCAGAAGTATCCATGGGGATTCTGTGTACTATTATCTACAAACAAAAACTAGAAATTGTATCTAAACTGAAAAAATTAAGAAGGACATCAGATGGTACTACTCTGCTCAAAATCTAACTACATACAGCCACACAGACCAGTATATGAATGCTTGCATGTCCACTGTCACTTTATTCATAATGGCCCCAAACATAAATGCCATTGACTGGCTCAGGAAACCGCTCCCCATGCCCAATATGGATCAGTCTCAAAGGCAGCCCAGATGCACCAACTACCATGACAGAAAGCAGAGTGGGTGCCTGGGACTGACGGCACAGGGAATCATTTCACTGCAAAGAGACACAAGGAATCCTCTTGGGGTGATGGAAAGCTCTTTACCTGGATGACTACCTAACTCCACAACTGTTCTAACTCATCAAACGGGCACTAAAGTAGGTGAATTTTACTGTTCATAAATAATCTAACTTTAAAAACTTTCTCAAGTAGTTCCCAATTTCAGTGAGAGCTTAAGTCATTAAAAAGGCCCACCCTCACCCGTTTTCATGGCACACTTGCTTTCCTCTAACACAGCCACCTGAATATGGCCCACAGGTTGGGATCTGTGACGAGGAGCAACTAGGAGTAAGCAAAACACTTAACATCCAAGAGTAATTCACTGTTACCAAAGTACACAGGCTTGAGGACTGGATTTAAAAAGTTACCCAGAGGAGGCAATCTCCAAAGGTGGCAGTTTTAGGGATAAAAAAATTATTTTAATTTTGTCTGCTCAGTGTACATGCAAAAGTGATGCCATAAAAATCTGTTTACCTAAGTCTAAACGTGGCCCTTCTGCAAGTATTCAAGCCAAGGAAATACTAAAATACAGACGCCAACAAATACAAAATGTATCATACCTCAAACAATTGTCCATTTCCACAGATTCCCATGGCGTCAAAACAGGGAGAATCGAGTCTTAAGCATAAATCAAACTACTAAAGGACTTTTGAATGCTGCTATTTAAGAATTACAAGGAGACGGCAAGATTAGCATTGGCAATTAGCCTACCTGTCCTAAAATGGATTATAGATTAAGTCCTTCCCTTGGGGGTTTTCAATAATGAAGTCTGATAATAACCAAGCGGTACTCCTTAGGAAGTGTCACCTCAAGAGAAAAAAATAAACTGCAAACTTTAAAGATACACATTTCTTGTTTTCTTAGAAAGGAGTAAACACAGTTGGTCTTAAATAACCTTTGTTAAATACTGAACAAAAGGCTCACGAAATCCCTACCTCTATTAAAGTACAATGTTCATTTTCTTGAGGGACATAAAGATCAAATTTAGGTCTTGCTCAGGTCTTATTTTCTGTAATACCCAGAATGATCTATTATAAATATTGAGTCTCTTTAGCCTTCGTTAAAATGCCTGAGTAGGGGCTGGGGAGATGGCTCAGTGGAATAAGTGCTTAGCTGGCAAGCACAAAGGCCTGAGTTCAAACCCCAGTTCTGCAAATAAATAAATAAATAAATAAAATAAAATAAAATAAAATGCCCGAGTGTTGCTTTATCACTAACTACTCTAAAGAAACTAAAAAACATTGCATTAGTTTCACACGCTTAAGATGCATTTTAGACTAGAATAAGCACTTCATGATTGGGCAGTGAGCAATAAGCACAGCATTACTTAGAATACAAATAAAAGTTTATTGTACAAAATTAAGGCCTTCATATTACACAGCTCACTAAGGCTAAAGACTAGATGAAAAATTTCACTTTTACTTCCCCACTGTCTACAACCATTAAAATGGCCTGACCACATTATCAAAACAAAAGCATAAATAACACCAAGTCCCGTAAAGATGCCCATCCTGAGGTTATTTCTTGGCGTAGGTGATCTTCATTGCATGGGATGGTGTAATCTTAAATCCTTGTAATGCATCCCTGGCAGCTCCAGCCTGCCCATCATTTTCGAATTCCACAAAAGCAATGTCATGCCTTCCAGGTACAAGACGTACTTCCTTAAAACCAGGGAACCTGAAAGGAAAACATACAATTCATACGTACAAACAAATGCATGAATGTCTGCTTTGTGCTTATATTTGTAAGCACCTTCCTCATACTGGCCCAGGAAATGTAATCATGCACCCCCAAGCGTCTTGATTAGGAGGAAGTCTTAATACTGGGAAAGAACTGAAAATATGCTGATTCTATTTCTGTCATTATATTAAAGCTCTGATTCCTGATTTACTCACTAGTTAGAACTAATAATTCAAACATCAGAGAATATTTAGCTTTCTCTTTGCCAAATCTGCAGATTGGCTTCAATCCCTGATGAGCCCCAGGCGACATCAATGAACCCATAAGGAATGACTGCTGTGGGATGACAAATGGCTTCCACTCACAGAAGTGCTGAGTGTCCTGTTGGGAAAACCCCAGAAACAGACTGACTTACTGATTAAACAGCATGGACAACATCATCTCGTTGGTCTCTTCTGGTAAGTTATTAAGGAACAAAATATAGTTTGGAGGGTAATCAGGGACCTATCCAAAAAAAAAAAAAAAAAAAAAAGGACAAAGTTAGCTTGTATGTATAAACAGCACTGTAAATCATTTGATTCCTATATTAAAACCTGAACTTCAGAGCTATACTCCAGATTTTATAAGCTTGTGAAATCTTACAACAAACACTAACACTGAAAAACAATGCCAATAAGAAATAAATATAACCTAACAGCAATTAAGTGAAGCAGATGTTCAAGTCACAGCACCCCAAATCTGAAGACTGCAATCATAAAGGTTTTAGGTATTCAATTACTAGTATATAAAACGGTATTTATGTTTCAAGCATTTAGAGGTCAATTATAATTGGAGAATTCTGTCATGGAGAATACATAATTAAAGAAACTAATTAAAACAGAGGTTATCCCCTCTCAGCTGGACACCCCACTCAGGTAACACTCGTTTTTTTTTGGTGGTACTGGGTATTGAACTCAGGCCCTTGCACTTGCCAGGGAAGCGCTTATTCCACTGAGCCATCTCCCCGGCCCCCTACTCAACTCTTCTGTGCTGCTGTTTGTCGCTGGTCAACAGGGAACACAGAACTGGAAAGTCACTGCTGAGAACCATTTCTCAGTGCCTGAGGCCAGACTATGAATAATGTACACATAGCACCCAGGTTTACCTAAAAACAAGTGCGTTATCAGCTATTAACCTATCTGATGCCCTACCCTGAGGTTATGAAGGTCTGCATACAAAGAGTCCCATCTTCAGGCTAGTTTCATGGTGAGGAGAGATCAAGTTATTTGCGCATTATTTTTTGTTCAAAAAACAACGAGCAAATTAACTCAAGGCTTAGAGAATTAAGTTCTGGCATTTCTGAAATGGACTATAAATGCTAAGAATGGAAGCAGAAAAAACAAAATGCAAATAACTTAAAACCAGAGGAAAAATCCTTAATGAACAAAGAAGTCTCTGGATTTATGGATCTTGCCAAACTCTAATACCACAAAAAGCAAGTATGAAACCATTAACACAAACCGCAGCTCTTGATTTTGAAGTACTTGGAGATTTGGCAAGGATTTCTACAACATATACGAGAGACCTTAAAATATAAAGCGAAAGGGTATCTGTGCTAAGGAGTAGGAGCAAGGCCAACCCAAACACCATTCCGAAAGGGAGTACGGCCCGGCTAAGAAGAGAGGCGCTCGTAGCCTCACCAGCCCTCGGCGCGTTGCCACACAGTGAATGCCTGGCTACTCACTACAGCAACACTTGCTCCCTGACCTTAGACTCAAATCTGCCACTGGGATTCTGTCACTGAAGCATTATGGGAAACAAGTAATACTCAGTTCTGTTTACTTCCTCTTAAAATTTAAAATGTTGTGAAGTGTAAGTGTCTAACTTTAAAGTGGTATCAAATTTTACATATGATTTCTTACAGATGGAGTAATTTTGGTTTCAAAAATATAGGAGTTGCTTTGTATTGTTATAATTCTTATAATTTTATTTTAAAGTAAGAAGTATATGGAAAAAAATGTTACCTGAGGATTTGGTGCTGCATTTCCTTGGGTATTAGCTGTTGATGTTCCCTAAATAAAGAAATAGGGAAACAATTAAAATTCCCAGCACTTCTAAAGACAGCAGTTATTTATAATTACTGTATAAAAATAACATTTCCCGACTTTGTAACTTCACTTAATTTTACTTTAAGAACTTACATTTTAACTGATTTAAAATTCATGTATTTAACTGATAAAAGATTTCTGAAAAGTCTGCCCCTAAGTTTTAAAGAATTGTACAATAAAACTTAGTATCTATGCTTTAAATTGGAGAATACATGCAAAAAACAAGGTCTAATCCTACTTTTCGTAAAACTGTGTATACACATACTAAGTGCAAATGATTTCTAACCACTTTAATTCAGAAGTGACTACTTTTTGAGTAATTTCACTTTTATCTATTTCACATTAGATTTTGTGAAAGAAAAGAATCTCTGAGTGGACCATTCACGATACAGTGTTTACAATACTGTCTTTATAGGCAGCATTTGCTGGCAGAACATAAAACAAGCCAATGGGGATTAACATTTTAGAGAAAGATGGAATTAAATGTCATGCAAATGAAAAAAAAAAACTTCTATACATCTCTGTATGTAAACACCTACAATTTATTTTGTTGCTTAAATATAACACTGGAGTTTTAGATCTTGGTCATTACAACTTCTAAGAATTCCACCCTATAAACACACACGTATCACAAATACTTGCTCCAAAGATCATCTCGCACATGTATGACAAGCATCCAAAAAAATGAACATTATCTGTCTCACCTGCCCAGGTTTTTTGTTTGCAGTTGTTGCAGTCTGTTCTACAGTTTTGGCTTTTTTCTTTTCTTTCTTCTTTTCCTTGTCAGCAAAAGTGCCACGCATTTTAGATATTATATCAGAGTCTGTTTTTGCATACTGGATTCGCTGTTTTAATTTTTTGAAAACAGGTTACTTTCCATCAGGCTGAAGGCTATTCACTGCAGTCATTAATGTTTCAACCTCCACTAGACAAATATACTACAAGCTAATTTTAAAAACACTTCCTAAGGAAATGGTCAAAATATACTGAGTGCCAGATGGAAATCAATTGTGGCTGCATGTACAACTAAGACAGAGTTCGATTCAACTGTATTAAAAGAAAAGCCGTCTGTTTTCATATGGAGAAAACAAGACTGAAATACCCGCACCATGGCTTCTTTCCAGGTAGTGACAGCAAACCACACTAGAAATGTGTTACCTCTTAGCAGCATGCCTGGCTGGGGGCTCAACATGTGTTATCAGCTGCAGAATGTGCATATGGAATTGTTACTCTCGATGCTTAAAGCACCCAGGACTGAGAACAACTTTCCTTTGAATACATCATTTTTCGATGAAATGACTTTAATAGCCACAGCAATTTAAATTTTAAAATGTTTTGAAAGGAAACAAGGGACAGCATCCGAGCTTGTGCAGCTGGGCCACTCACTGACTCTTACTATGCCAGAGCCAGCAGGAACCAGGCACCTGTGAAACAGGGAAGTATTCAGACACTGGCCCAGCAGGCTTACTTTCTGTCAGCTGTAACAAGCAATATAGCAGCTTACACAACTTGTCAAAGTGCAAGTCTGAGATTCTGTGCTTTCAACAAGTACAAAGGGGCCAGGCTAAGAGCATAGGGACCAACTCTGAGTAGTACAACCCTGGCCTAAAGCATCCATAAAGCTAATGCCAATACCAATGAACTGTCTGAATATTTTGGCCACTAGCCTTCCAAGGGCATAAGAGAACCTGTACTGTAACATCCTGTAACTCAGTTGTGTCCCAAATTTTCTGATCAGGGTGATTATGGGGCCACAAAGGTAAGTGATCGATGATGTAGAGTGTGCCTAAGAAGAGTCACCTGGAGGGAAAACATTCTCTCAGGCTTTCACAGACAGCAAATTGGTTAAGCAATGAATGTGACTCAGCCACATGGCTGACACTGACAAAAGAACTATCAACTGCAGTACAGGGTTTCAGGATAAAGCCTGAGGGGATTTGACTGACCTTGTCAAATACAAAAGTTACATTTCTAGTTACATAGGTCTTACTTTATCTTGGTCTTAACTATCCAGCAGAAAAGTATAAAAACGAGGTATAAAAAGTAAAGCTTTATTAATATGCTGAGCTGTAAAGGGCTCAAGTCAACAACTTCTGACACTGCCAGTCCTATGGATAACCCACTACTATTATGGACTACTGGACTATATTGGAATATTTTGCTGAATTCACGCACCTACAATATTTAAATAACAATGGAATACCCATCTCTGACAAAACTACACAAAAAAAGGGGATATAAATGAAGGATCATTTTGTATCTGTATATTCAAAATAGGATATACAGCTACTTTCTTTTAATTCAATGAATAGAAAGTTTTGTTCTAATAGTGTTTGTGGACAGGATATCATGTCTGCATCTTATACTATGAATAACCACTAAGAAGACAACAATATTCAATGTATTAATTATTGATACTGTCCTACTAATCAGTTTTGAAACTGTCTCATTGTTATTTCTGAATAAAACTATTTAAAAATACAATAAATTAAAAAAGAAAAGAAAGTAACATCCTTACAAAAGTCTTTATGTCTTTAATCTGGTCTACATACAAGCTATCTGAATCTTGTGTGTATCTGTCATATTATGCATATTTCTGCCAAGTGGAAGGAAGAGACAAGAATGCAATTAAAACCAAAAGTGTTGCTTCACTAAAGGCTAAAAGTCCTTAATAAAAATAGAGAAATGCGCCCCCCCCCAAAAAAAAAAAAAAACAGAACAAAACAAAACAAAAAACCAGACATTTGGCCAATGACTTAAACTGTTATTTAAGGTGTTACTATGTGCAGACTGCAACTTTCATTTCAAGCTAACAGTGGGAAAAGTAACTGCCTCTCTGGTCACATCCAAACACAGTGGCCCTATAAATTACTATCTAAAACTGCCTCTTTATAGCAAGAATTCGATCTCAGTCCTCAGAAGACAAAAAGGCATTTTAAAGGTGCATAAATCAGAAGGCAGAGGATGTGTTAAAACCAAGAGCAGTTCTTCCTTCTTTCTCCTTCAGCTGGAGGTGAGTGCACCAGAGAAGCAGTGAGGCATACCCTGCCACACCCTCCAACTTCAGGCCGTTTCCGCAAGTGCCAGGCTCTGAGCTGCACACACTCTCTGTGGGCTTCCCTGCCAGCAGCTCTAAGTCTCACCCGGCATCAAGGTCTAACCGAAGGAAACAGGCTGCTAGTTCAAACAGTCTGACTTGGCTATAGCTCCTTGATGTCTCAAACCTTGTCCCTGACCTGAACAGACCTTGGTGACCTGATCTGTGCACCTTTATGAAACAGTCCCCTGTGAAAGTATCTGCTTTCAGCCACAGCTCCCAGCTGGCTGGTCTAAGTCAGGGGTTTTCAACCAGAGGTGATTTTTTTTCTGGCCAGCAGACATTGTTGGCTGTCATGTCCCTGGTATGCTGTGGCTCGAGGCCAAGGTTGCTGCTGGCACCCTACAATGTGCAGCAAGCCCTCCCCAACAGAGACCTGTTGGTTTAAAATGTCAGAAGAGCCACTGCTGAGAAACCCTGGTGTACAGCGCATACCCATAAATGATAAAAGTATACCTGTAACTTAAAGATACAAAAGCACAAGATTTACATCTATACCAAAGGTTTCATGATAAAAGTGTGGTTTTACAGCTAGGTGCGAGTGGAGCTGCAGGCACGCAGGCCGAGACTCTGTGGACCCATGACCGAGTATCCGAGGCGGTGAATAACAGCTCTTCATGTCTACAGTAAAAAATGGCTTCCAATAAAACTACAACTACATTGCAAAAAATGGGAAACAAACAACATGGAAAAAGTAAAAAAGGTGAGGAAGCAGAACCTTGAGTTTGTGGTGGAAAGAGTACTGGACTGACGTGTAGTGAATGGGAAGGTGGAGTATTTTCTGAAGTGGAAGGGATTTACAGATGCTGACAA